ACCTGGATGCCTCTTGTGGATGGGCAAGGCCTCCAGGTGCAGGCCCAGACCCTAGTGGACCACAGATGCTAGAGGAATCTTGTCTCATCCTTGACAGGTCCAAGTCCAAAAAGAAAGCAAAGCTCCATGTATAGCCCAATCGCATCACCTGGTCAAACTGTCCAGTTCACAGTTGACACCAAGCTAACCCCAGGCAGGCGGGGGGTGGCTGGGTTGGGTTTGCTCAAGTGGCCACAGTGGTCAGCACTGCCCACGCCGCCTGGCAGCACCCCACAATCTGTATGCACCAGTGTCGGGCCTCGCAGTCTTCCAGACACTACCCCAAACAAGCCATGCTGTCTGCGCTGAGGAGGTGGCTGACACATCCTCAACCCCAGACCTCAAGATCTCTGGGGACAAATGAACAACAAGGCCATACGGACCCTGAGTTCTAGACGCCCCAACAACACATGGCCACTGCACCTCACTGCAGTTGCCATGTCGAGAATTATGTCCCAAACACAAGCTCCCCCCACAACCTAGGAAGCACCTCATGAAATACGATAGTTTTTCTCTTTTTGGAAAAAAAAAAAAATGTTCCCCTTGGTAGTTTTGTGCTGTAATTGTTCTTAGAAAGTTCTTGTGAATGTGTCCATCGAAACACGCCCAGTGCCTGTGTTTGTTCATTCACGCGACACTGTTCACACAGAGCTTTTAGACTTAGACAAATCCAGACACAACGGTTTTCAACGATGGTTTCCAGGGGACAACACACCTGACAAGGCTCTGTCATTGTGGAAATCAATACACGCTGGGGTGTTTGTGTTGTCCTTTGTAGGGCAGGTGGATCCCCATCCATGCTCCAGCTCCAGTGGACCATGTAGGTATCCCCCCGAAAACCTCTCTCTGGGGCAACCAGCCTCCCGCACTGACTTGCTGACTACCCAGAGAGAAGACAGTGAGCCCTTTGACCTCAGGGTCTCACTTCTGTGTCCCTAGCAAGGCCAACTTCAAGTTGGTGACAGCGGGACACATGCTTGCATGGGGTGGCCCTTCCAGGCACAACAGAATAAACACATGCTGTCATTCTGGGCACCCGAAAGGCACCTCAAAAGGCTTTGTGTCTGTGCCGGGATGAGGGCAAATGTCAGCCTCTTCTGGGGACTTGGGGTGAGTGTATACCCAGAAGTGCTTTTGTCCATGGAGATACTCAGGGTGGAGTTGGGAGTGGGATCCTGTTCCTTACAGGACATTCTAGAAAGGTGGACACATGATCGCAAAACTACTGCTCGGGGGCCAGGCCCACACATCTGAAACACCAGGCCTCAGCCAGCCCAGACCCTCTAGTCCAGGAAGGGAGCCCGGGGGATACCCAATGAGGACAAGAGGGTGACATCTTAGTCCCTTTTCTGGCTTCTGTGACAAAACAACAAAAGCAACCGGACGGAAGGGTTTGTTGTGGTTCAGTGAATACAGCCAGGTTGGTGGGAAGAAATGGTGGCAGGAGCAGAAGGTAGCATCTGGCCTTCTCATGTTTTACATTGTGTGCGTGTGCGTGTGTGCGCGTGTGTGCGCACCCGTGTGTGTGCACATGTGTGCTGTGTGTGCATGTGTGTGCGCGCGCGTGTGTGAAAGTCCGACTCAAGTGGGTCTTAGGACTATGGCAGCAAGCATCTTTACCCATTGAGTCATTTCGCTGGCCCATTTTTCTCAGCCATTGCTCATTTCACACCAGAACTCTCCAGACTGTCTGGCAGGGACCCCTTCGTCCTTCCCTTCCAGACTCAGATCGTCCTCAATTGGGTTCCCTCCCACTGAAGCCACCAAGCCAAGTCAGAAACTATACATCATCAAATAATAGCAGCTCCCAGCCTCCTGGTGGGAGCTAGCCTTGCTCCAAGTCCCTGGTGACCAGTGAGGAAATGGAGACTTCTGAAATGGGAAATGGTACTCTGGGACTAGAGAGAGAGAGGGTCACGCTGAAGTCCATGGGCTATCAGGTCCTGGGGCAGGGACACTGGACAAGACTGTGAGGGTCCTGGGACCTCGTACAGAAAGCCTCTGGGAGGCCCTGTGAACACAGTATTTATTTCCACACTATTTCCCCCAAAATACAGGCTCACTAGAATAAAGCTATGATGGCTGGAACACCAACAGGTACCTTGGGCCTCTAAATGGAAAAGGATGGGACAGAAACCTGGGTTTTCTGTGTCTTAATTGCCATTTTGTCACTATGAGGAGACACCATGACAAAGTCAACTTAAAAAAGAAAGTAATAAGCAGGGCAGTAGTGATGTACATCTTTAATCCCAGCACTCTGGAGGCAGAGGCAGGTGGATCTCTGAGTTCAAGGCCAGCTTGGTCTACAGAGTGAGTTCCAAGACATCAGGGGCTACACAGAGAAATCATCTTGAAAAACAAAAAGATTTATTTGGGGGCTGGGAAGATGGGTCAGTAGTTAGTGCAGAGGACTCGGATCTGATTCCTAGCACCTACATGGCACTTCACAAGCATCTGTAACTCCACTAAGCCCCCCATGCAGCCTCCTCAGGCACCACACTCACATGGTGCACAGACACACCCGGGCAAGACATCAACACACATGAAATAAAAATCTTTTTGTTGTTTAATAAAACAGAGATGGCCACACCCAGGGAGGCATTCTCTTCCTGAAGCTAATCCTCCCCTCCTGGTTCTCCCATCTCTCAGGCTGATGTTTCTCTGTCCCTGGGTCCTGCTCTGGGCCCCGCCCACCACCCTTTAGTGACTTCACCCATTCCCAGAACTGTTCTCCCATGCTCAGGCTTGTCAGCTCCTTGCCTTGCCCTTAGCAGGAGCAGACAGGAGATTCTCAGGATCGGGGTGGGGATGGCACAGGGGTGACAGGTGGGATCTCGGCATTGCCATTTAGACATTCCCACAGGACAGGCAGGAGTTTGGCACCTCCCTTCAGACATTCAGGGCCTAACCTTCAACCACGGCCTTTCCCTTCGGACACTGTGCCAGGTTGTTTTCTGGGGCAAGCTCCCAGACACTTTAGATCACCAATCAGCCCAGGATTGTGCATGATGTGAAAGTCAGAGGACAGTCTCTTACTGAAACTAGAACTAGGCTGATGGCCACCAAGACCCCACAGTCCTGTTTCCATTCCTGCAGTGCTGGAATTATCAGTACATGCAACCAATTTCAGCTTTTTACCTTCAAAGATAGGGTCTAACTATGTAGCTAGTCTGGAACTGTGTAGCCTATGCTGGCCTCAAACTCAGAGAGCCACCTGCCTCTGCCTCCCAAGTGCTGGTCTTAAAGGCTATGTAGCAGCAGATGACCTTGCACCAAGTTCTGAGATGATGTGTGGGCTGCTGTACTGTTTATGTGGAGCTGGGGGCTGACCCAGACTTCATGCATGCCAGTCAAAGGCTCTGCCCATGTGACCCAACCTGTTTTTCATTGATCTCAACTGAACTACTTCCTGGGTAACTTCCTGGATGTCCCCCAGCCCGATGGGGAGCACTTCCCTGATGCAACGTGTTCCCCACCCATGATTCACAGCACGCATGCGCAAGCCCTTCCAGCATTGCTCTACAATCAGAGAGCTGTGTTGCCCAATCCCGTCACTCTTGCTTAGCCAGCCCTGGAGGGAAGGAGGCCAGGAGATGGTGGTCTCTCTTCTCAGTGAGCCTGGGAAGAGGGAGGGGGTCATTGAGCAAGGCAGGGAATTCCAACTCTCATAGGATGCAGTTGGTGAAATTAAGATGGGCTGCTCAGTGGGCAGAGCATCTGCCCACACACAGGAGGCCTTGAGCTCCGCCACAGGACCTGTCAACAACACTGAGTAAGCAGAGACCAAAAGATTAGGAGTTCAAGGACATTCTGAGGCCAGCCTGTGCTACAAGAGACCTGCCCAAAAAAGAAAAGCAAGCTGGGCATGGTGGCACATGCCTTGAGGGAATGTAATCTCTGTGACCTCCAGGCCAGCCAGGGCTACACACTGAGACCCTGTCTCTGCAAGAAACATTTACAGAGGTGGTGAAGGAGAGAATGACGGCCACGAGGGATGAGGGACGGTTGCCTTGGGCTTGAGCTTGAGGTAAGCAGAGGGTGACAGACTGTTGCATTGTGACTGTAGTCAGAGGACAGCTTTGTTGACCTGGCTCTCTTTATATGGGTCCCGGGATCTTGTTAGCCCCCAGGAGACAGACACCCTTCTGGCACCTTCTCAGCTTTTTTGGGGAAAGACTTGTTGTCTCCCCACAGCATGCAGCACCCTCCCCCAAAGGCCACACCTGCTCCCACAAACAAGCCTGTGGCTCTTGCCATCAACCATCTGTGTCACACCCACCCCAGCAACCATGCTGAGGCTGAGCCCAGCTTCCCAGATACCACAACCCCCAAATAGCAGCAGTGGCTTCCCTGCCTGCATTCCACAAACCATGGCTTTGTGGCAGGAGCTGGGGAGAGCCACCCTCCAGGGCTGCCCTGCACACTGTCTCAGGAGGCCTCCCAACATGGCCAGCCCCAGGTGACTGATTTTCTCCTTGATACAGTCTCATGTAGCTCAGGCCAGCCTTGAAATTCTGATTCCCTTGGTTCCTCTCACCTCCTCAGCACCAGGATTATAGCCATGAACCACACATAGTTCATTTGCACTGGCCATTGAGCCCTGGATCTTGTGTAGCAACTGAGCTCCAAGCACTGAACCCCAAGCACTCTACCAACTGAACCCCAAACCCCAAGCACTGAACCCCAACATGGTACTCTACCAAGCTACAGCCCAGTCCATCCTTTGTGGCTCTGACTGACCTCCATGTCCCCTGCGGCAGCCTCCTGAGTACAGGGCAACAGTTCAGATGCACCCCTGACACCTGACACCCGATTCTGAGGTTCCTAGCTCAATTCTGAAGGTGTCTGGCTACTGCCAGGTCCCCATCCCCCCCCCCCCCCCACTATGCAGTCTGTCTGAGCAGCCTTGCCAGGTCACAGCAACAGGGCCCATGTCCACACAGAGCACAGATCAAATCACTTTAATTGGGGGCAGTTCCCGGGTCTGGACTGGGTCCTGAGGTGGTGGTGCCAGCCAGGCCTGCAGTCTGCCTGTGTCTGCCACCTGGTTTCCCTTTCTTGGTGGATGTGGTGGTCTTCTTCCCTGACTGATGGGACCGTAGGCCAGGGGCCACTGTGTCAGTGACAGGGACACCCACATGGGGCAATGGCTCATCATCCAGGGCTTTGAAGCTGAAAACGTAATCCACACTGGCCACAGCATCCAGGACCTCAGGGACACCATAGTCGAAGGACAGCAGCTCATCCGGCAGGTGCAGGGAGCGGATGTCAGCTGTGCAGTCACCACCACCACCACCACTGTCTCTCGGGCTGGGCCCGGGACCTCTGTGCAGGGTTACCTCAGGTTCAGCGCCACCAGGGAGACAATCAAAAAGTTTCATGGCATCTTCCAGAAGGACCTTGTCCGGTAAGAAGAAAGCGCGGGCCACCTCGGGAGGCACGGTCTCACCTGAGCCCATTGGGGTGATGTCCTCCACCTCGGCCACCTTGGGCTCCGCAGGCCCAGGAGGGAACCGCAGACCCAGCCTGGCCACAGCATTGCCCTGCAGCTCCCTGGGGGCTTCTATGGGCCTCATGGTCACCTGGGGCCCTGGGAACTGGCTAGCATTGCCACTGAGATGGCCATAGGGTCCAGGTGGCAGCGTGTGTGCTGTGGGGACTGTGATGAGCAAGGGAGATGGCTTAGTCTCTTTGGGCGTTGGTGGGGGTGCCAGGCCATCTCTGAGCATCTCCATGAAGTTGAGGGGCCCTCCATCCCCCACAAAGCCCACTGCTTCGGGCCCAGACTCCTCAGGTGGAAGGTAGTGTGTGAGGTACGGTGGCCCACCGGGAGCTGGCTGGTAGTGGGGATACAGCGGAGGCGGAGGCCCCGGGGTCTTGAGGTAGGATGGGGCCTCCAGCAGGTAGCCACTGGACAAGGTGGGACCCCCAGCCACTGCCACCTTGTACAGGGACGACTGGCCGAAGTCAGAGGTGGCCCATTCGATTCGGTAGATGCGGGGATCAAAGAAGCAGCCGCAGGGAGCCATCTGGAAGCCTGCAGGTGGCAGACACTCTGAGAGGGGTGTCCATGGGGGACCCAGACCATGGGATGGGAGGGACAGACAAAGACCTGGGCACATAGGACACTGCCCTCACCTCAAAGGTGCCTTGTGTACTGGTTTTGTTTAGCAGTCATCTGGGGACTCGTGGGGAGTAAGGCACTCAGAGACTGTTGGGGAGACTCCTATTCTCAGGGGAGCAGTGACCTGAGATTGTGAGTGGCTGGGCCTTGTGGAAAGCCTTACCTAGTGGCAGCTGTTGTCACCGAAGCAAGCTTCGGCCTGGTCTCTAGTTGTCACTTCAAACTGTGGCACATGAGTTAGTATGGGGGGATCTGTCTGGGGTACAGAGGCGACCCAGGGTCTCATCTCGGGTCAGGACGGAGCCTGCTCTCAGCATGCTCAGGGCGCTGGCCAGTACCTGCTGGAGGCGCAGAAAGCACATCCTGGTCCGAGCCGGGAGTCTGATAGAGCAGGTTGGTGCTGGCTGTGGATAAAGGCGTCTGGTGGGTGGGGCAGGAGCCCAGGTCCCATGGCCATCACACACCCCTGTCTGTCACCACCATCGTACCTACAGTGGGAAGCGGTTCTGGGCCACCTGGCACCTCAGTGCCCTCCAGGCCCCGTGGGCCGAAGCCTTCCTGGGGTATGGCTGGGGGGTAGAGGGTTTTGGGGTGCTGCATGGGGCAGACAGGCCACCCCGGGGGGGCCCGGGTGGCAGCAGAGGCACCTCGGGGACAGAGTCCCGCTGGGTTCTGTTTGCCCTGTTGCTAGGTGGAGGGTTCCAGTCTAGGATGGGCCCACCACTCGAATTCCGGGGTGGGGGTGGGCAGGAGGTGACTACCTCCATTGCGTGGGCAGACATAACCCTGGGCCAGGTTGCCCCAATTCATAGCCACGAGGGTGCTGGCCAGCAAAATGGATAGCTGGGAGTCAAAAACATGGCAGACAGGGACCAGGCACCAGCCAAGGCCACATCCTGGGGGAAAGAGGAAAGAATGTTGCCTCATGACACCCAAAAGAAAAATAATGGTGGGTGTTTGCCTAGGGTTCCAGTAGTTCAAGGACATCCTAGGAAACACAAACCCTTGTCTCAAAAAACCAACCAAGAAAAAGAAGTTGTAGAAGAATAAAATTTATTGTCTCTGCTGGCTACTTGTAGGCATTGGCTTTGTGCTTGGGCAGGAAGACAAAGCCGGGTGGGACTGGTCCAAGCAGCATCTCACTGTGGGGACAGAGTGAGAAGTCAGGCCTGGTCCTCCCAGCATCACCCCACAGAACCCAGGCCAATGGGTACCTGATGCGAATCCAGTCTGCAGCCTGCTGGCTGGCCATGAGCGTCTCCAGGTGGTCTCGGCCTAGGTAGTAGGGTGGCCTTTCATTGATCCTCTGTGGGAGGCGCTCAAGCAGGCCCACAGGCACATACCTGAAGGTCAGGGAAGACAGAGGAGGCAGTAAGGCTGGGTGAGGCCTGAGGCTACATTCCCCAGCTTGGACACTCTCCTCACCTGACGCTCACCTGCAAAGAAAGGAGAGCCACTCAAGAAGGAAGCGCCGGGTCCGCTCCACACCCTGCGTGTCAGAGCCCCAGTGCTCCAGGCCATAGTGTGTGAAGTCCCTCAGGATGTCCAGGCGCTCAGAGGACGAGATGTCCCAGTGTCTCTGTTCCTTGATCTCCGTGAACAGCCAGGGCTTGAGCAAGGCACCACTGTGGAGGTAGACAGTCAGCGAGGGCCTGGTGCTCTCTGCCAGTCACCTCAGCACGGGGCCTTGCCCACCCAGGGGCCCCAGGTGTAGAAACTTCTAGCATCCCTGCCCCAGTCCAGCTGCCACTCACCGGGCGATCATGACCCCCGCGACACCCGTCTGCATGGCACAGTTGGCATCCTCAAACGAAAGGATGTCCCCGTTTCCTGAGGAGACAAAGTGCCACCCACTTTGTGTTGTGGATGCCATTGGTCTTGGGATTTCCCAGGGACCCAGCATCTTCCGTCTTCCCAGCTGAGACATGCAGCAGGGTGAGTGGCCCCGATGCCTCTGGACACCTACCGAACAGGGGCATGGGGCTGGCCACCTTGGCGCACTGCTCGATGTAGGGCCAGTCTGCCAGCCTGGTGTAGCGCTGTTCCCGGGAGCGGCCATGGAGCTGAGAGGGTGCAGTGATGAGCAGGGAAAGGTGCAGAGTTGAGGGTGAGAAGGGGACAAGGGAGACAGCAAGGAACCAAAGGGACAGAAAACAAGAGACCAGGAAAGCCACAGTGACTCTAAGAAGAGACCACACTGACCCTGACACCCACCGTGACCAGTGCGACACCCCAGTCCCGCAGCTCAGGCAGCAGGCGGTGTGCCAGGCTCACACGCTCCTGGACACCCGTACGCATCTTCACAGTCAATGGCACATCCAGCACCTGCGGGTACAAGCACAGAGAGAGAGCAGACAGGAAGACTGGAGGGTGTGTGGCAGAACTATGTGGGGATGAGGAGGGACATGTCCCCAAAGAGCCCAGGTTACCTCATTCACGCCCCTTACAATCTGCTGGAACTTGGCTGAGCGATTCATGAGTGCGCAGCCGCCACCCTGTGGGACATGGACAACCTGGTGACCCCCCTGAGAAACACACACTCCCCACATACAACTGAATTGCCTGCCACCCAGCTCAGTGTGCTCTGTGTCCAGATGGAGACGGCAGAGCAGGGTCCCGACTTGAGACACACCCTCCCAGACTCCAGAGCTGAGTAGCTGTCACCTTCTTGTAGACAAGGTCAATGGGGCAGCCCACATTAATGTCCACAAAGTCCACGTCGATTGTGCGGTTCAGGAGCTCTGCGCATTTGGTCATGGTGTCGGGGAAGGCACCCTCCAGCTGCACCAGGCAGAATACGGTCAGAATCCAGCCCACCAGGGTTATCCCATTAACACCAGATCAGGGGGGCACTGCTCCCCAACAGGGCAGCCCCTTCCAGCTTCCCTCAGGGCAAACACTGACTTGCACCCCAAAGATGTCCTCGCAGGGGTGGCGCTTGAGCAAGGCCCACTCAGACATCTGTCCCTGCAGCAGGTTTGTGCACACAGCCATCTCACCGCACGTCACATCCGCACCGAAGCGCTTGCAGATGCGACGAAAGGGTAGGTTCCCACACTGGCCAGGACAAGGACATGTTCAGGCCCCAAAGGTCAGCAAAGCAGTGACACCAAACACCAGCAATGACCCAGGGAACAACTGAGCCACCCCCTCCCCCACCACTTCCTACCGTGGTGAGTGGAGCAAGGTATAGCTTCCCACTGATGTCCAGCTGGAAGGAAAGGAAACATCAGATGAAGTCAGTCCTCCTTCTCCACTAGTTTAAAGCACCCCCCCCCCAAACACACAGTGGCCTCCTTCTATTGCTCGCCTCTATACACAACACGTCCATTCCTCTTAGGAGAAAAGTTCATCAGTGCCCGGGCTTCTATACTGGAGAGCTTTATTCAACCTTTAAAACCCTAGTCTCAATGCCCTTCCCTTCAGGAGCCTTCTATGTTGCCCCCTAACCTAGCCCAAATCCTCCAGGCTATTTCTGCTGAGGCAAGATTGTGGACAATGTTGGAGCCCAGCTGCTGTGCCTGCCTGTACCTGTAGGATAAAAGGGCCAGCCAAAGAAACCCACCCTGGCCCTGAAATTAGAGCCAACAGGTTTAAAAAGACCAATGAAAGAAACACACTTTGACCATGAAACACATATGCTGCTGAGCAGGAAAAACGAACCAATACCTGAGTAGAAAATCAGCCAGTCCAGATCTAGCCAATCTGGGCTCAAGGGACTGAAATGTGACCAATCCCCACCCTTCTCTCTGGAAAACTCTGCCCCAAGAAGTCCTATATAAACCCTGTGGCTGTTCAGTTTGCTGCCGCAGCCTTTTCCACCCTAGTAGAGGCAGCCACTCTTCCAGACCCTTCCCTCCCAATAAATCTTTTGAATTGAATTGAAGGTTTGGGTGAGACCTTCCTTCCCTGGAGCAGAGACAGGGCCTGAGCGAGCAGGGCTGTAACACTCTCACCAGGGAAACCTTCCCCTAGCAGAAAGGAGTCATTACACTACACTCTAGGGATGGAGAACTTTAACACTTCACTGGGGAAACCCTCCCCTGCTGGAACAAAGCTTTACACTGGGAGGCCTTTCCCTGGAGCAGGGCCGTAAGTTGCTAGGCTCACTGTGACCTGTGGTGTTCCTTGGCCCCCAAGCCCCAGGGTCCCTTTCCATCTGAGCCACCGTGCTTACAGCACCCTTCCTTACCCGCTTCTTCTCACAGGGCCGCAGCCGAATGATGTCCTCGTCTGTCAAGGCACCACAGGTGGAAACGGGGCTGCCACATGGGGTGCTGACCCCTCCTGCAGTGTCCAGCTGGGCATGGCAGCTGTTCTGCTCTGGGGTGACCGTGGCTACTGCGGTCTCAGAGACAACGACAGGCGCAGGGCCCTGGGTCAGGCGGCGCAGGGCCTGCTCAGCTCGCTCAAAGCACACTTGGCGCTTCCGCAGCTGCTGCTGCAGGGCCCTGTTCAGGCCATTGCGCACCAGAGGGAGGCTCACACAGCGAGCCACCACCTCTTCCTGCACCAGGTTCTGACCCTCGGGCCCCAGGTGTGCCCCTGCAAAGCGACAGGTCACACTGTATGGGCACCGGCCAAAGGTGTCAAAGAGCACGCAGCGGGGGCCCAGGTCTGCTGGTTTTGTCTCCAGGTAGCGCCCCACATCATGCAGGAATCGGCACCGGTCACCAAATGCACATGTGGCTGACTCCTAAGGGGAACATGAGGGAGGGGCTGGGAGAGGAGGGAGGGACCAGGGCAGTTGCAAGGATTATCCTCCCAGCCTCCTGTCCCTGGGAGTATCAGCAACCCCAGAGTGCCTATGTCTCGAGCTCTAAAACTGGAATAGTGTCAGGTCCACATGAGGTCAAGAGCACCGGCTGCTCTTGCACACGACTGGTTTGATTTCCAGTACCCATGTGGCGGCTCACAATAGCCTGTAACTCTAGTTCCAGGGGGTCCAACGACCTCTTAGAAACAGGTAAGTAAAAATAAGTCTTTTGGGGCACAGCATCATGGTTCACCTGAAACATGATTAATCAGACTGGCATGGCCCACACAGAGAAACCATGTCTCAAAAGACACAAAAATGCTGCATTGTGGCCTGCAGATGCCAGCTCAGCATTAGCAGTGGTTAGGCTGTCCTGAAAGCAGCATCTGTGCACCAATGAGAGGCGAAGGTACTGCTAGGCCAAGGGCCATGTACATCTCATAGCACAACAGCTTCAGGCTTTGAGGTGGCAGGCTCATGGAGTCTTCCCAGAGCCGTTCTCACCTGGAGGAGGGAAGGGCAGAGCCTCTCCTTGTCATAGTGCGTTGGCTTCACATGAGGCCGGCTTTTGTTCTGGCCACGGGCCCTCTTGGGCACTTGCTGTTGCTCGTGGGGCTCAGCTGCCGCCTCTGTCTTCCCATTCTCCTGCCCATCTTCCAAGCGGATTCTCTTGGCTTCGGGCTCGGCAGGGTCACTACCATCAGGGTCTCCTATGGATGTTTCCTGACATACATCCTCCCGCTTGTCTGTGTCCAGGTATTGGTGGAACCGTTCCTTGGTGGTGCGGTACCTGCCAGAGAGGGAGAGGCTCCGTCGGCATAAGGAAAGGAGCCTAGGAACCAATGTCCTGGCTCACATGCTTCTCTACAGAAGGCTCGCTGCTTAGAACCAGCTTTCACCCTATGGCACCCCAGTGACAAAGGGACACCTATTTTGCA